TGTCCCCACTGTGGAAGGACGTGTGGATATAGAATTGGCCTCCACAGTCACTTACGGACTCATTGTTAAAACCGTGTTTATGGAAGACAATCTTACTCGGCTACGAGTGATCGCCAAAGAAGAAGAAGAAGAAGACGGGGGGGGATATTTTTCTGCATTAACAATTCTATTTTCACTAGTGCCTGAAGCATGCTTCTATATCCTCATTATTCACCTTGTTAAGAACCACCTGGTTAATAGGATGGATCTGGTACCAATTTGGGCTATGCTCCCAGGCATCAGTTTGGTAATGGTTTGATTTGTTGCAATTAAGGCCAAAAGCGTTGGTGGGGCTAAGTACAAGCTGAATAGCGACTAGTATAACATAATCTTCTCTACAAGGACAGTTGTCTCCTACCCAGGCATAACAATTCTTGAAAAGGAAAAAGTGGGGGGGGGGTGGAATTTGGTTTGGTTGCATTTTAAATGCAATTTGCACTTCCTGACACAATACACAAACTGACATACAACTATCATTTGAAATGTAAACTTCCGGGAAGTTTGCAGAACAGCTCTCCCATGAAAAACTAAGCACACAACTGCTAACAGTAGGAAAAAGTGTGTATAAAAATACATATATCAGTGAATATCACATATATCATTATATTAGGCAAAACTGCATAAAAATGTTTTAATAGAAGTTATGTGCGCTAAAGTGCAGACAAATTTTAATCAGGATTTTAAAAAACAACAACAACAAAATACAACAAATTTAAGATTGGAAAAAAGAGAAACTTAAATTTGACTGAATCATCTGTCTCTACTCTACACCTGGCTGATTGTGCTGCAACATGCACAGGCGATCTGCTGCCTGTGGCTTCAGTCATTCGTGCTCTTCTTACTGCTGCTCTAGGCTGGATGTTTTTCTGCCAGCCAAACTCTCATTTTCTCATCTTGTCTAGAAATAAGAGGGATTTAATTCCAGTGGGACAGAACTCTTGTCTCCTATCCCTTTCTCTGTTCAACCCAATAGTGAAGGACCTCCAGCCAACAGGCCTCTCCATTTGAACAAACCACAGCCACCTGTCAATCACCTGTCATTCTATGATGTGAGGTGCAGGACAATTAAGGGGATCTCTTATCACCGGTCTAAGCGACACAGCAGTAAGATTGGAGATAAGCCCCCTTTGAGAGTAAACCACAGCCGAGGGATCTCCTATCACTGGAATTTCCTGGACATGGCCAGTGTTCAGCCCTCAATCGCTGAAATGTCCAGGAAAATCTCAACAACTTTGGCAAAGACAAGAAAAGCACAACAACTTTTTGAAATATGGCAACCCTATGCTAAGTGCCACAGAACTAACATCAGATACAACCCTCTGCCTGCTCTTTAATAGCAAAAGGGCTGCCTTCTTCCCCACTCCTCCTCCAGCACTGGTTTGAGGGTGAGTGTAAATGCTTACTTTTACTCTCAGAGCAGGCAGAGCGATCTCCTAACCCTGAGCTTAGTGTTGAGCACCACAGCACTAAGATCTTTGAGCAGGCAGAGAGTTCATCTTAGTGGTGTGGCACGTAGTACTAAAATGGGGAGATAAAATCCCTCTTCCTGTTCTTCAGTTCTTTCCAGCCACTTCCATTCTAGCACTGGAATAGATATGCTAGAAATGTTGCGTGTGTGTGTGTGTGTGTGTGTGTGTGCGCGCGCGCGCCTGCCAAACTGGTGCAAGAGGGCATATGTATGTGTGTGTAACTGGATGTATGTATGCATGAGAGAGACAGGGCAAGTGTCCCTGGCATCTGGTGCATGTATCTCTAACAATGAGAAGGATTTTTTCTTTTTTTTCTTTTTGTGGGGCTGGTCCATGGGGTCATGAAGAGTCAGACACGACTAAACGACTAAACAACAACAACAACGTTGTTGTTTCTTTTGCCCCAGACACCATTGGAATCCAACCTCCAGATGGCTGGGCAAGTTCTAAATGCTGGCTTTGGGCTGAAATAGTCTCCTCACCCCTGCTGATGACAGGTTATGGGCTGAAGGGGTAAATATTAATAAACTGAAAGTTTAAATTTTCCGCCTTACATGTATATGGGCCATGTTGTTCTTTATGGCTCTGGTCTACTCATTAATCTTGATTTGGAGCCTTGTGTTTTCTGCAAGTTATATTTTGTTTTCTTTACTTCCATCATTAAAAGAAAACCAGAAAAAATCTCCCTCCAATTTTAAAAATATTAAGCTATTTTCAAGATCGTTTCAATTCAATAGTGTACATAAATATATTTGCAAACCTTTTCTGATATATGTGTTATAGCATATATCTTATAACAAAAAGCAACAGGAAAAAATGGAGATCAGAATTCATACATGGTGTAATTCTGCTAAAGCAAAAGGGAGTTAAACAAGGGATTAATTTGGCTTTTGTTTTGTGCCAAGACGGCACATTCATGCTCACAAATGCTAAATGAGCTTACAAAAATCCTTTTCGTCTCTGAAGTGGAATCTTTTCCCCACTGTGTCTGAATCCAATGCATTTGCTTTCTGAGGCCCACAGAACCAATTTTATGTTCGTGCCTGAAAACCTCTGTCTCAACCAGATTAACAGAATAAAAAGAAAATCCTCTGTGGGTTGAAGGCCAATTGCCAAACACTTTTTACCATGAAAGCTATAGCTGTAAAGTTTAAAAGAGTTCACTTCCTATTCTAGAGAGAAGGATTTCAGTTATTATTATTATTATTATTATTATTATTAAAATTTATATACTTCCCGCCATACAAAGATCACAGAGCAGTTTACAGGTTTTATAAAATTATAGGTTTATTAAATTTATTGCAAAAAAGTCAAGATGGTGTTGCTAGTGGTAGCATCGACTTGAGCTCCACATCAGTTGATGCGGTTTTTATTATTTTTATCAGTCTTTTATTAGCTTTTATCAGCCACAGTATTTTATCTCTGTTATTTGGCAGCTATTATATTCACAAAGCTTGAGTTAAGGGCTTGAGTTAAAAGTCTTAGAGAAAGTCTTGGAAAGTATCGGAGAAAGCCTTAATTAGCTCCAGCTCAACTGAACCTACCAACTACTTATCAGCAGGAGTGGAGATTAAACACCCTATCGTGGGAGGATGCCGAGCTTCCTGATTTACAGCAGAAATTAGTAGCGGCTCTATCTCTGGGAAAATGTCTAGGAAAAAGAAGGGACCGGCCTCATCTCCACAAGTCAGCGCACAGCAGAAGAGCAAGCAGAGTAAAATGGATGATTTTGTAAGAGCACAGAACTCAGAACCTACTACATCAAACAGAACTCATTCCCAGGTAAGTGGGGATGCTTTAATGGGTGGAGATCACCCAGGGCAGAATGCTGAGATGAGCGCTCATGAACTACTATCTGAGGGGGCACCGCTATATGCAGAAATACTCCCGGACCACTGTCTGCTGACTGCAAGAACAGTGGAGGAAATTAACATCAAACTAGAAAAGGTAACGTCTCTCCTGACGGAGTTGGTGCTTCTGGCAGCCAAAAACAGCTCACTCAGTACTAAAGAGATCGACCACAGCGTTGCCCTCCCCCTAGGCCATCGCGTACAGGGGTGTAACCGTTCTGGACTTGATAACCGAGAGACTACAAATAGTAAATTTGTTGCTTTGCAGTTTAAAAAAAAAGTCTTCAAGCAATTTACAACCAAAGTTAAAAAATGAAATAATAAAATCACTTAAACAGTATTAAAACAGATTTAACATTATAATATAGTGCACTGAGGAGCAATGACAAGGTTGGTGTCCCTGGAGAGAGCGTTCCTGTTGTTGCCACACTCTGGACTTCTCTTGAAGGTGCCATCAGATGAGCTCGGGGTTTGTGGGCAGATTCATGGGAAAGGCCTTCTTAAGTACAGTAGTTCTGAGGCGTACAAGAGCTTTGTTGCTTTGGAGTTTGTGAAAGGTGGGTGGCCATTTTTGTCCTCACAAATATTCACAGATTATTTCGGATCTCCATGGAATGGGGCTCTTTGTAAAACCCAGCTCAGCGAGTGCACTAGCATGGAATTAAGTAGACTTAGAGATGTCTAGCCAATATACACACAGTTCTGCACACATTGTTTAATTCACTGCACACACATTTGTTTAACTCAGCCACTTCCTTCAAAAGAAAGACCCACCGTCAGCATATTATCTTTTGGTATATGCTGGCATCCCTGAAAGAGCACAATCCACTTTTTCTGTTGTCATACAGTGACTAAAAACGTGAGTGGTAAGTTGGGAAGTAGCCACCAGTTCAAGTCTCACAGCAGCCACATCTACAAAGAAAATAGCAAAGACAATTGTTTCAGTTAGATTCCTGCCTGTTGCCGGGATTAGAGTAACAACACTCTATTATTCAAACACACAAACACATCTTCCCATATACATACAAATGCAAGACAGACATCACTCAGCCCCTGTTATAGGATATTTAGCGCTGCATCACAGTCCTGGGAGTGGTAGGGGAGCAAAAGGGAAGGCAAGCTGCACAACACCAGTGTCTGCAGCATGGGAGTAAGAGGGGGGGAAGTGGTGGTTTAAGGTTTCATAAGACGACAGAGGTTTCAAAGAATTGTAGAGTTGGAAGGAAACCCAAGGGTCATCCAGTCCAACTGTCCCGGCTGGGGACGTTGGGACGTGGGATGGGAGCAGGAACAGGAGTCCAGAAGCCATGAGTCAGGAAGCCAAGAGTCCGAGGGTCAGGAAGCAAGGAGTCACAACGTCAAGGGTCTGAGGATCAAGAAGCAAGGGGTCACGGAGCCAAACGCAGCAAGGCAGGGAACGTGTTGCTATGGCAAAGAGCCGAAGGGAAATGCTGACCTTATATACCTTCCCAGCTCTTGCCACCAGGTGTAGTGAGTTACCAAGTGGCCTCACCTGTGCGATCATGCCTTGCCTCTCCAGAACAAACTTAGGAAGGCCCCAGTCCTGCAAAGTTCTATTGGTCACAGGGCCTGGCTCCTGCACGCACTCCTGACACAAACACCTGCAATGCAGGAATCCTGCCATCCCTGGATAGGCTCAAACCACCAATCTTTTGGTTAACAGCCAGGTGCACTGACCCACTGCACCACAGCCCAGACTTCACCACTGCTTCAACTGTCAGGATGCTGTCAGCATCTCCCAGCTAGTTGCCCAGGAAAGTATAAAGACAAGGGAAAGTTTCTTACTGTCCTTTTTTATTTCAATCTTTACAGAGAGAGGCTATAGATCCCAGCCTCTTGGATAATGACGTTGTCCCGAGTGAATCTCCACCCCACCCCACCCCAGTCTCTCCCACATCCTCATTCGTCTCCTCTACGGTTGCTGCTATGTGCCTTCTGTCTTTGAGCTCTTTGCTCTCCTATTTTTAAGGCTCGCCGGGTTCTGGGAGATGGAGGGACTGGAATGCTTTCTAAAGCCAACATGTCAGCTTGGTGTTGATGATTTCCCAACTTTCCCCCTCATCTGCCTCTGAGCTGCAACCTCCCTCAACCCCCTGTTGTAAATCTATACTGTCTTCTTCTTCTTCCTCCTCCTCCCTGGAAGGGTCAGGCTGGGGAGGCAGTCTCCACCATTCCTCCTCTGCCCAGTCCCTGACATCAACCCAGCCTGCTCCAGCAGTAGCAAGACTGGCGTCAAGAGGGCAGGCTTTGCCCATGCACCACTGCTGGTGAGCTGTTGAGGGGATAAAGAGTCTTAGTCCTCCATGCTGAGCAGTGGGAGTGAAGGCCACACTGGGGAGGAGTCACAAAAATGGGGCTGGCAAGGGAGTGGGCGGGGCTTTGGGAAAGAGGCTGGTGGGTTGGCTAGAAGGGCCCTGCTGGCTGCATCAAGCCCATGGGCTGGAGGTTCCCCACCCAACAGATAAGGTAGAGCAATCAATGGACAACAATCCTCTTTCCACTCCTGCAACTAGGAATAGAAGGAAAAGCACCATGTGCATGTAAGGAAAGAGAACATCGATTCTGTAAAGCATCACTGCTAAATGGATGTCCTTTCCTTCATCATTACGTTAAAACTATGCCATAGCTGAATGACAGTAGCGAAACAATCATTACTCCATACAACCGCTAGGCTTGCTACAAGGCTGACACCTACGGCTTTTTTTCAGCCAGAACTCACTGGAATTTAGTTTCGGCATCTCTCAGGTTGGTGCCATTGCCATTATAAGAGAACAAGGGAGGTGTTCATGGTGAGTTCCGGCACTTCTTTTTCTGGAGAAATAGCACTGTTGACACCCAGCCTCTGTAGCACCTCCTTCTTTGCTAACTATTACCAGCTGACATACTTGAAATCCTGTCCCATGGTGGGTTTTATGGAAGGAGTGACAATCGAACCTAGGTTAGTAGGAAGTCAGTGTAGGAAATATCTTGGGGATGTTTGATTGGTGGACACTATGACTTCTTCAAACAACTAGCCAAGTACAGGAGCTGGTACAAGGCCTTCTGCTAGAACAGGCTTCCTCAACCTTGGCCCTCCAGATGTTTTTGGCCTACAACTCCCATGACCCCTAGCTAGCAGGACCAGTGGTCAGGGATGCTGGGAATTGTAGTCTCAAAACATCTGGAGGGCCGAGTTTGAGGAAGCCTGTGCTAGAAGAACCTCAGGAGTCTGGAGCAAGCAGTGGCAAAGGAGACCAAAATAGTAAGATTTGGCTTATACAATATGTGGACAAACAAGACACTGTTTCTTTTTTGTTTACATAGGGTTTCACTATGGAGGTAGTACAATAAATTGCCCTGCCCTAGTTAACAGGATATGGTACTCAAGTGTTAGGAAAAAGTATGTACAGTGGTACCTCGGGTTAAGTACTTAATTCGTTCCAGAGGTCTGTTCTTAACCTGAAACTGTTCTTAACCTGAAGCACCAATTTAGCTAATGGGGCCTCCTGCTGCTGCTGCGCCGCCGGAGCACTATTTCTGTTCTCGTCCTGAAGCAAAGTTCTTAATCCAAGGTAATATTTCTGGGTTAGCGGAGTCTGTAACCTGAAGCGTCTGTAACCCGAGGTACCACTGTACAAGTTCATGAATACATTGGCATTCATACTAAGATGCCAACAAACATAACATGCTTAAATGTTTTTTTAGTACTGGGTGGTTTTGATCTATGAACCACACAAAACAAATGAATTCAGCTGTGACTCTGTCAGTTTTGTAAGGATGAATATTTGCAGTTCCATCTATGCCAGGAATCTGCCATCATGTGGCTTCTGAAAGGGAGAACAAAGCAATTTTGGGGAGCTCTTTTGAGAGAATGTGTGCAAAGAATAGTAATATGGTAAGGAAGGATTTTAAAAAAATAATAAGATGGGTAAAGTCAGAGATGTTCCTGAGGAGAGTGAAGAATAAGGTTATAAAAGGATATGAACTGCATAGCACACCATGTCGAGAGCTAAATGAAATACCAAGTTTTTGTAGATAACAATTCGAATTGCAGACCCCCTTGTGTCATTTCTTTTCTGAGTGTTTGAGTTTAAATTAAATAGCTGGGAATAATAGGATTTGTTATAAGAATACCCCAAGGACATTCTTTTCTTAACAAAGTTTTCAAAATGATGCTTGATCTCTTTGTGACTCCCAGCTTTCATTTTTGACAGTGAATGTTGGAGAGGTGAAATCCTGATTATTGTAAGTCATACAACATGAATTGATGTGCAGCACTCTGGGGAGGAAAACATTCTCCTGGGATAAGCTGTGTGTTAATGGGTAGGAGTGCAATAGTTTTGAAATCCAGTAATACAGTTTGCCACTGATCTGCTTTAATAATAATAATAATAATAATAATAATAATAATAATAGTAATAATAATAATAATAATAATAATAATAATAATAATGATGATGGTTGGTCCAGACTTCTTATATCTGCCAGTGCAGGATTGGGACTGGACCTAGATGAAACACTGAGGCCGAAGGTATATTGCTCATCCTCTCTCCTCCTCCAGCTCTCCCCCTCCCCCTGCCCTGTCAGAGGTGGATTTAGGGCAGTGGACTGGTTCCACAGGGCATCACAACTATGACGTAGTGAATTGAGCAGAACAGAAGGTGGGAGGCAGAGGAGTGCCAAATTTGGAGCTCACACAGGGCACTACTGAAATTTGAAAGACCAAAGTCTGCCCCTGGCCATGTTTCCCAAAGGCCTCCCTTCGTCTTCCCTCTGCTCCAGCTAGTCTTCCGGAAAGACAGAGAACGGGATTTATATTAGAATTAGTCTCTGTTTAAAAGTCTTTAACAAAGGAGATCCCGCCAAGTTCTGAGGGAGCCTGTCAGGAAATTCTTCCTAATGTTTAGTCGACACTGGAGGTGCATAGTGGATTGGGACAAATCTCAAACCATACCAGGCTGCTTCAGATAGATGGAGGACTTGTTGGGGCTGAAGCAGGATCTCTCCTGAACCAAAGTTGGGATCTCCAAAGCAATGTGGGATGATTCAAAGATTCAGCTGTGAGTTGTTCAACAACTGTGCAGACAGTGGGTGTGCAAAAATTGAAACATTTCTCCCCAGGCTTCCCATATAAGAAAAATGCCATTGGGTGGGCTGGGGTGGAGAGGTTGCTTGTTCCTGACAAGTCCAGCTTCCACTCAGAATGATTTTACCAGGGCTCTCAAATCACAGTGCTTTGGGGAAATGATGCTAATGCAACACTTTGCTCTTCTCTGCATCCTTTGCTAGTTCTGGGAGTGGTGCTTGCTTGGAAAGGCAGAAGACAGCCAGGTACCGCGACAGAATGGAGAGGGCTGAGACAAGTAAGCAGTCTGAGTAAGCAGCCATGGTAGGATCCCATTCGTTTAGAGAAGCTCCTTAGCAGAGCAAGAACAGTATCACCTGTGGAGGCACATAGAGGAGAAGGAGCAAGGAGGGGGAAACAAGCGGTTGTGTCTGGGCTACATGACTGCTGGGGTGTTAGTGGAAGGCCTGCGGGGGAGTTCTGACTTCCCCCTTTTCCAGTCATCAATCTCTAGCTTCACTTGGTGCCTTGTATCGTGTTTCAACCATCCTCCCCTGGGACATTGTGCTCACCTCTCACAAGAGGGATGCTCAGAGAGCTAGGATCTTCCTGCCTTTCCTAGTGGTTGCTGTGGGTACCACATCTCCTCTTGCTGAAAATGCTACACCTGACTAATCAACTTCTGTCTTCTAGGTACTGTACCACCATTTAAAATCCTGAAACTTGTCTGGTTGTACCCCTTATACTTTGCATATACAGTGGTACCTCTAGTTACAAACTTAATTCCTTCTGGAGGTCCGTTCTTAACCTGAAACTGCTCTAAACTAGAGGCGAGCTTTCGCTAATGGGGCCTCTTGCTGCCGCTGCACCGCTGGCACACGATTTCCATTCTCATCCTGGGGCAAAGTTCTCAGCTCAAGGTAACTCTTCCAGGTTGGCAGAGTTTGTAACCTGAGGCATTTGTAACCTGAGGCATTTGTAACTCGAGGTACCACTGTACCTTATTCTTTTCACCTTTTCTATGCAAAGAATATGACATTTCATTCTTTGGGAATATCATTAGAATTCTTTGCTTCTTATGTTGCTTCCTTCATAAACATCCAAATCATAAATTCACAAATACAATGGTACCTTGGTTCCCGAATGGCTTAGTTGACAAACAAATCGGCTCCCGAATGCTGCAAACCCAGAAGTAAGTGTCCCTGTTTGCGAACATTTTTCAGAAGCCAAACGTCCGTTTCGGCTGTTGGCATTGTTTCCGGGGCCAGTCAGCCAATCAGAAGCTGCGCCTTGGTTTTCGAACACTTTGGAAGTCGAACAGACTTCGAGAACGATTGAGTTTGAGAACCAAGGTGCCACTATACAGGCTACCTTTGTACAAATAATGCATTGCTACTTGTATTGTTCCTAGATACATTAACCCTTCAGTCTCCCACCTCTCTTTTATCAGTACAACACATATTAATTGAAGGCTGTTGCTTAAACCCCCTTCCCCTGAACCCCCCCACGACACTTACCACAGACAAAACCCTCTTCCTGGATCTACCATCTTCCCTCCCTCCCATTGCTCCAATTGCACCCTCTTGCTAATCACCAACACTACAAATGTCCTCTTTACCCCAAGGCACTTCCCCTTGCCCTCTTCCCAGTTCCT